TGAGTAACGAACTCTATAAACATTTTCGGTTGTTGTACAGAATGGGTACAATCACTTCGGGAAAAGGTCCAGCAGTTTTTGTTAAATAAAACTAAATGTGTATTATACCTACCTTATCTGTCACACAATTTCACTCCTGGGTATTTACCTGAGAGAAAATGATAAATCTTCAAAAAGACCTGCACATGAATGGTAATGGCAGTTTTATTCCTGATAGCCCAAAATGGAAACGGCCTAAGTGCCTAGCAACAGAATGGATGGATGTTGCCGTACAAGGGAGTGCTACCCAGCAATAAAAGGAACAAATCACTAATAAACACAACATTGGGTTGATCTCAAAAATATGCTGAGTTTATAGAAGCCTGGCACAAAAGAGTAAAAACTGTATGACACCATTTATATGAAATTCTAGAAAAGGGAAAACAAATCCAATGTGAAAAAAAACAAAATCAAATCACTGGTTTTCTCTAGGGGGTGGAGGCGGAGATTGACCAGGAAGGAGCATAGGGAACTTTCTGGGTTTGACAGTAATGTTCTATCTCTCTTTTTCTTTTTTCTTTTTTTAAGGATTTTATTTATTTATTTGAGGAGAGAGAATGAGAGAGAGAGCACATGAGAGGGGGGAGGGTCAGAGGGAGAAGCAGACTCCCTGCTGAGCAGGGAGCCCAATGTGGGACTCGATCCCGGGACTCCAGGATCATGACCTGAGCCGAAGGCAGTCGCTTAACCAACTGAGCCACCCAGGCACCCTTATCTCTCTTTTTCTTTTTAAAAAGATTTTATTTGAGAGAGACAGAGTGAGCCAGAGGGAGAACACGGAGAAGCAGACTCCCCACTGAGCAGGGAGCCCGATGCGGGGCTCGATCCCAGGACCCTGGGATCATGACCTGAGCCGAAGGCAGACGCTTAACCGACTCAGCCATCCAGGCGCCCCAGTAATGTTCTGTATCTTGATAGGGGATAGGATTACACAGGTAGATGCATTTGTCAAAACTCAAAAGAATACATTCTTAAGATTTGTGCACTTCAGGGTATAAATACTTAAATTTTATATTAAACACATAGAAACTAATATTGACCTCCAGTTAATATGTGCTTATGTATTTGGAAGGAAGTATATTAATGTCACTAAAGTACAGTAAATTGTTGCTAGGTATATGGGTTTATACTATAAATAATATACTTAATTTTTGTGATAAAATATTGGAACCAATTGTTTAAATAAATAGAATCTAAATAGTTTAAACCCTAACATGACAACCCTGCAATATGACCAGGATTTGTACTTTCACAAATACGAAGACAAATCGAGAAAGATAAAACCATTTGCTGAATTAAAACAAGTCAAGAGTTTACTAACTGGAATTTAAATAAAAACTTGAAAAATAAACCAACAAACCAAAACAAATCAAGAAACGGGAAATTTAATAACAAACCAGACCTGGCCCTATGGTCAGGCTTCCCACTCTATCGATGATGTCTTCTGGGATCCACTCTGTGTCTTTAATTCTTCGTCTTCCTTTGTCAATGAAGATTTAAAAAATAAGACTTCTCAGCCAGTGTGTGCCAGGCTTCTTTAACTCTCTAATAATACATCAGCTCTATTCCAAAAGCACTACAGTCCTGGTTACCATTCAGCTTGTTGCCCGCTAGGATTCCCATGTGACCCTCTTTGAATATTTTGTCAAGTCTTTCATTCATCAGAAAACCATTCCGCACTGACTCTGCCCTGCTCTCAAGCGGCTTGGCATGCACGGGGCCGCCAGGCTGGGTGAGCTGCTGGAACAGGAGACAGGCCAGCGGCAGGCAGTGGCTTCTGGCCAGGGAAGGCTTCCTGCAGCCAATGCGTCCAGAGCCTCCCACAATGAGCTGGCGCTAAGACACGTGGAATGCTGGAAGAGCTGCTGAGAAATTCTCCGTACCTCACCCCAGTCAGCGTTCATTTCTACTGGGGGCCAAACGGCAGACGCCTTGCACTGGTTATGGTAACTTCCACCTCTCTTTGAGATCTAAACACACTAGTTCCCCAGCACCACGCCACACACACATTTTTAAAATTACCATGAAACAAGGAAGAAGGGAGGATGTGGCACATGCCATCCTACATCCCACTCACATCAGGTAAAGGACACCTAAATTCCTCTATGTCATCAAACGACTGATCCCACAAATGGGCCCAGGCAAGGCTGCCCATGTCCGTGCATGTTTACAGACAGCATCATGCGGGTTCAAGCACACAGGCTGCTCCAAGACCAAATCACATAGCCCAAAACCTTTATGGGGGGGCGGGCAGCTGGCTCCCCGCAATCTGGCAGGCCCCTTCTCTCGGGTCACTCTTCTGTCCCTGCAGAGGAAAATCACAAAGGACCTCCACACTGCTTGAGTTAAAGTCTCCATTTAATTTTTTTTTTTTACAAAAATCCAACATAAGACTATTGTGCTCATGACTGGAAAAGGGGGGTGGGGTGGATGGACATGGCATGGACATCAAAGAGCTTCCCCCTGCAAAACAGCATCATTTCAAACCGGGAGCTGCCTGCGCACATGCACAGGCCGCAGCTGAGGAGGGGCTCCCACCCACCCAGCCAGGGCCCCGCCGACCGCGCCCAGGCCTGGGCTCGAGGAGCAGCACGCATGGCGCCGAAAACCACCATCAGCAGCGCAGACGCTCAGACAGCCCCAGGAGCACCTTGGGGACGCTCTCACGTAGGGGAGTGCCCCTCGGGGTGGAGAGCAAACTGGCTAGCTGGGGACGAGGACATCCTGGGCCCAGGAGACAAGGGGTGACCTGTGGATGGCCGGGGAAACCCATGTGAGCCCGCAGAGCCGTTCGCGTGTTCCAGAGGAGTCCCAGTCATGTGGTGTACAGGACGTCTGTTTCCCAGCGGGACAGATGGGCATCAAGGGCATTCGAAGCATGCGCTGGGCCTCCCCGCGGCCACCTCGCAGAAAACAGCAGTCACTCTCCAGGAGCGCCTAACCGAGCAACGTAAAAGGTCTGACTGCCCGGCCTCTTGCTCCTGAGCCGCGTCCCCTAGGCACATGGCCAGTGTCCAGCAGAGCCTGCTGCTTGGAGTCCCTCAGGTTAGTGTCCTGTTAGGTCCAAATAGCGCTCGCCTTGTTTGCGGCTCTGACACCATAACCCTCCCTGCAGTAGACGTTGATGTCATCCAGAATCTCAGGCCACTCGGCTACTCCTGGATCTCCCAACAGCATTCGGGGACCCACCAGCCCAGCTCCACGACAGGGGATCCTAACACAGACTGTGCTTTTCTCACCAGGTCCCATTGAAAGCCAGTTTATGAGTTCCTTACATTAAAATAAACAAGATAAAAATAGCAGCCACATATATAGCTCAAAACACCACACTCTTTGGCTCCCCGGAGGGAAGAAGGCTACCACTAAAAAGAATAGTTAGGAGTCAAGGAAAGGGTAGTTAGTTAGGGTGCAGGGAGTCTGGACCCCTTTGCTGGGCTGCTGAGAAGCAGAATTGGATTTCCTGGGTAGCTGCCTCCATAGGAGAGCGACAAGAAAATGCCAGTGGGAACCTCTGGCGGCCACAAGCCCTGGGAGCAGCCCTGGTCTTGTCTGCCAATAAGGAGAGGTCCTTTAGGTCCAGCTAGCCCTCTACCCGGGTGGGATCTACAGGACAGAACCTGGCTTCAAAATGATACTTGAAGAGACCCACTGAGACAGGTCAGAGAATGTGCCCCCAAGAAAGAGAAGCACAGGGTGTCAAGGTCTGGGGAAGACAGAACTGGCTTAAGGCATTTCATGACCAGGACAGACCTGAGGTTTTGTCCAGCTGTGGGAAACCACCTGTATTCAACTTCACTGCAAGAAAGTGGGGTCCAGGAAAATGGTAGAAGTCATGGGTTAAATCCCTGCCAGATGCCACCGACACCCTCTTCGGTTCTCCTACTGCCACCCACCAAAAAAAAAAAAACTAGCTTATTTCCATTTCAGCCAGGGAATAGAAATGTAAACCCAGAGTGGAAAGTGGTAACATGGGTATGAATGCCTGTGAAATCTCAGGCAGGACTGGAGCCTATCTTCTTATCATTCTGGCACATACCAAATCTCAAGGGGTCCTGGGACAACCTGGCATGAGGGATCTAAAAACTATAGGTAACATAGGGCATAGGTCCAGACAAAGGTGGAGGGAAGGTGAATTTCACCAAGGTATTTATCCCAAGGCAGGCGCCTTGCTGTAAGACTTCCCGGCCAGCCGGGTGGGGGTCCACAAAGGATGCTCGCTCGTTCTACGCCAGAGAGAGTAGGCCAACCTGCAGACCACTTCAGATCACAGCTGGAGGTGCGGCCTGCCAGCTCTCTGTTCTCTTACACGAGAGAACTTCCAGGAAAGCCTGAAGCCAAAGCACAACGTGTGTTTCAAAAGGAAGGCCGAACAAAAAGAGCCATCTGGGAGCACTGTCTTCAGGCCTCACTCCTTCCTCATTCTTCTCTTTCAAACGGGAGAGAATGGGTGTGCAAGGACAAGTTCTGGGACAGCTCAATCTAGCGATGAATCCTCAAAAACACTCAATCCAGCACAGGGAAGCCCCACTGCTCCCAAAGGTGCAGGTCCTCCCCACGGACTCAAGCAACAGGAGGTCGCAAGCTCCAGATCACCGGTTGGCAACAGACGGAGGAAGGAACAAACCAAGAGGGCTTATCTCGTCCAGGGCCCCCTAGGAGGGCCAAGCCTGCCCTTTCTTGTTTCTGCACACAGATGCCCTGGGGAATACGGAGATGATCTTTAAGGATGAGCCAGATACCGTAAGGCCAGGCTCCATCTCCACCAATGTACAGAACATCAGGAAACTCAGTGGGTCCCTCACTTTGTGAAACAGGCAGAAATCTCAAATTGCCCCCCAAATCTCTCTCTCTCTCTATATATATGTATATGTATATGAGAATGTGTGTGTGCATATATATATACATATATATACACACATACATATAAATAAGCCTCGAATGGCAAATCTGAAACTTTTTCCTTTTAAATAATAATAATAGTTGTTACTGAATTTAAAAACCACAAACCAGCTGTCCTGGGCTTATGAACTGCGTGAGTGACTCCCCGGAGTCCCCATGATCCTCAGTGTAAGCTATCAGTCAGTGCCCTGTGTAGGGAACCCCTGTGTCCTCCGACCAGGGTTCCGGGCCCAGTGTGGCCGACTTTAAGAGAAAGAAGGCTATGTCCTTCCCACTCTTCCCGCCACCTCTCCCAGCAGAGGGTTTGGGCCACCCGCCCAGCAGGTGGCCCTGAGGCCCTTCAACGTCTAGGAACCTTAGGAACCATCTCCCCCATTCTGCTCATCCTCTCCCCAAAACTTGCAATGCCCCTAGATGAACTTGAAGCACTTGGTCTTGTCGTGGGGCAGGCGGGTCTTGAAGAGCACAGAGTCCACCCTGAATTGAGTGTACAGTAGGGGCATATAGCCATACACCTTGACAAAAAAGTTGATACATTTGTGCCGCTCATGAAAGTGGGAATCATCGTGTGACAGGGCCTGAGGGCATCCTGGGCATCGGAAGGTCCACCGAGAGGTCACCTAGGAACAGGGAAGAAAGAGCACAGTGAGAACCGCAGGGACCAGGACAGACAGAAATCCTGCCGCCTAACCAATCCGCCACGTCCATTTTGCCAGGGAAGGCACGCAGGTGGCGTGACTCACCCCCGGGGGAGTCAGGAGCCAGAGCCTCGGCTCCCTTCCTGCCACATATGTAGCTGTATCGTTGGAAAGGGTGCTCTTTCCAAATGACCTAAACGGTAGATACCAAAAGCCTGAAAAGGTTTAGCATTACTTGTCTCAGTAACTCAACCTCTAGCATTTATCTGGGTCGCACAGCAAGATGTAGGTCTAAAGGTGTTCATTTCATCAATGTTTTTAGTAGCAAAGTACTGGAAAAGTACCCATCAAAAGGGGACCAGTTAAATAATTATGAAATACTACACATCCACTAGAAAAGATATTTAGGAAAATTATATCCGAAGACATGGCAAAGTGGCTATATTACAGTAGTAGTAGTAGTAGCAGTTATGATGATGCTGATGAAACTTCAAGCAATTAGAAGAGTATAAAGAATAATACCACAGCTTCACTATCAGCAATGTGGCAGACCAAATAACATAAAAACTCCCTTAGCAGAGAATACCTGAAAATGCAGGATGAACTATATAAACTAACTCTTTAGAGAGTAATGAAAGAAAACTTGTAATGAAAGAAAGGAAATGAAATGTAAAGAAAGAAATTAAACCCTCAGAGGCCAAAATAATGAAAAAGCCTGAATCCAATGAGAGAGATAGGAGCTTTGGTTTTTAACGGGCTGGGGAGGCAAGAGCCACAAAACTTTATTGGAGATTTTTTAAAACACCAGGACCCAGTGGAAGGCTGCACAGGTTGGAGGCAGCTCCACAGAACGCTGTCTTCTTCCCAGTCTTAGCTCTAAGTGGAAGAAGAAACATCACCTGTAAGAATATATAACCACACACTGGCCCTCACCCACCTGACGCTAGGGTTTGTTACCTGTGTGTCCTGAAAAGATGCTAATTTAGTTTAAACAGGTCTCAAGTAGGTACTGACCCAGGGTACGTGGAAGAAGCAAATCCAAATTCTCTCAGGTATAAATTCAGGCCTCCTAGAAATTCTATAAGTAAAATCCCAAAGAATATGATTTCACAATCAAAAGTCACAAAAAAAGGGAATAAGCCACATGCGGGAGAATCTGCAGAAACAACAGAATCAGACCCCAAAACCCCAAAATCGCAGGATTCTCAGGTGGTAACTAGAACAGTAAGTGTATATGTGCCCTGAAATTTTGAAAGACTACCTATATGATTCCATTTAGATAAAGTTCAAAAAGAGGCAAAACTGATCCTGCAAGAGAAAAAAGACCTTGACTCGCTGTCATTCCGCCAGCCGAGCTCTCCTGCCTGCAGGAACCCAGCATCCTCCCGGCCCTGCCCTCCCTCCAGTGGCCACAGTGCGGGGGAATGACTCAAGAACACGGGGAAGACGCTCAACCTCCGTAATAACCAGGCAAACGCAAAATGAAAACAGTGGGATACAGTTTATACCCATCAGATAGGCAAAAATGGAAGTGTGGCAGTACCAAAATGTTAGGATGTGGAGAAACTGCAACTATTATACGGTGCTGGTGAGTATATACACTGGCACATCTATTTTGAAGAAAGTTTGGTATTATCAAGTATAATTGAAAGTACATATACCCCATGACCTCACGTGAGAGGAATGGATGGGGGGAGGGTGATATAAGACATCTACTCTATTTATGATGTTTTATTTTTTCTTTTTAATTTTTTTTTAAGTAGGCTCCACGCCCAGCATGGAGCCCAACGCGGGGCTTGAACTCATGACCCTGAGATCAAGACCTGAGCTGAGATCAAGAGTCGGACACTTAACCAACTGAGCCACCCAGGTGTCCCAAGTTTATTTTAAAAAAAGAAGAAACATGTATAATCTGACATAGGGCAAAATGTTAATACTCAGCAAAACTGTTGGGTATGTATATTTGTTATAGTCTTCCCTTTTTTAAAAACATTTCATTCATACGTTGTAAATCAGTAGTAATCAAGTGTTTCAAATATATATATAAATACTTCCTATATGTATAGACATAGAGAATCCTTTAAATATATACCTGTCTTTGAACACCCATGTAAAAATAAGAAAGTCTAACATTTTCAGTACCCATAATCCCATAATCCCATTGTGCATCTTCCCTCCATAGAAATTGCTATCCTGAATTTTGTTTTCAAACTTCCCTTCCCCTCCCCCCTTTAAAAAAGTGGTTTTACCATATGTGCATTTATCCCTAAATGACTGGCATGTTTTAGACTTTAGGTAAATGAAATCAAGCCATAAGCATCCCTCTGCAGTTAGCTTTTTAAAAAACAGTGTATGTGAGCTTAGTCAGTGTTGATGCCTGCAGCTACAGTTCATTAATTTTCACTGCCCCAAAGTCTTAAAAATGCCCTCCTCCACACTTTTCCAAAGTTTTAGGTTTTGCCCTTTTGTATTTAAATCATTAATCATTTTGGACATGATTCTGTGTATGGTGTAAGACAGGAACCCAATTTCATTTTTTCCCCATAACTAGTTTGCATTACCCACTCAGTTCATCCAGACCTCAGTGATCTGCAGTGCTGGTTCTGTAATGTAGATACACTCTTAGATCGATCTATCTGCTCTTTTTCTCATTTGGAAATTCTTTATTCTGGGTATCAATTCTTGGTCATTTATAGGCATTGTAAACATCCCAGTGTGTGGCTTGTTTTTTCGTATATTGAATTTTGTTGAACAAAGTTTTTTATTTTAGTGTATTCAAACCAGTCTTTTCCTCTATATCCTGCACTTTTTATTTCTTAAAATTCCTTACTTTCTTTTCCATACAGATGACCAATTACCCGAGCGCTCGTCTGTAAACACCATATGCCGAGTTTCCATATTTGCATGGGGCTGTGTCTAACCCCCACTTTGCGCCCCTGGTCTGTCATGCCTGTGCCGATCCCGCAGTCTGAGCTCGGCACTTCCCACCACGTCGTCATCTGTGACTTGGCTACTCTGGTCCTTTGCCTTTCCGTACGAATTGGGGAAGTCTGTCACGTTCCACACCAAAGCAAATGAAACCAAATAAGACATCCTAATAGGCTTTTGATTAGCATTACGTTGAAATTTTGGATTCGAGGAGAACTGCTATTCTGACGATACAGGGTCCTCATCCATGAACGTGGACATGGTCTCTATCCCCATTTGTTTAGTGGATTATCTCCCCTTAGATTGACTTGAATGAGAATCTTCTAAAGTTTCACATTAAGTATAATATTTGCTATAATGTTCGTGTTTTTAATAAAGTCTAGAAATTTCTCTCATTCTCTTTTTCAAAACTGCCTGTCCCTTATCCTCTCCATTCCTCCCTTCTTGGTTCCATGTTGGACCTTCTCCTTCTAGCCTCTGTGCCTCTTAACCTCTTTCTTATTTTCTATCTCTGCACATCTCTGAAATTCTTTCTCGGAAACCTTTTTATCTCCCAGCTGATTAAGTTTCTCTTCAGCTGAGTCTGGTCTTTCTATCCCTTTCACAGAGATTTTCGTTTTAGTAATTCTAATTTTCATTTCCTTAGTTCTAGTTAGGTTTTTCAAATCCACTTGTTCTTTTTTTTCCTAGTGATTTGTTGCTTTTTATGTGTTCAATTCCTTAGTCTTTATTTCTAGTCATTTAAAACCTACTTATTCCATAGTCCAGCCAAAGGTCTGATTATCTGGAATTCTTGGAGAGCTAGCCTTACTTCTGTCCTATCTGTTAGCTTTTGCTCAGGGCCGCCTGTCCCCTCACGTGACTGCTACTTTCAGATTTCAAGCTCATCTTCCATGAGGCTCTACCTGTGGGTGTCCTATGTGGCTTGAGGTGAGGAATGTCTCTTGACAGCAGTTTTTGGTCTTTTTCTGTCAAACAGTCAAAGGATATCAATGGCTAGGTCTAACTTTCATATAGCACAAGTCTCCAAACCCATGAAAGCCCAGACTGCTTAAAATTCTCAATCTATAGTTTTCCCCCTCTACCCTCCAAAATACAGGTTAAAATAAACAAGTTGCCTGCCATCTGCCTGGGACAACAGGTAGATCTCAGTTCCAATTCTCTGCCCAAAGGTTCTTCACCCTTTTCTCACATGAGTGATAAAACACAAGCCTCGAGAAGATAAATTAACAGCATCCCACCCAAGGAGCCCCAGCGACACATTATATGTTTGCCACTCTGATTTTTAGTTCCCCCTTCCTTTCTGGCAATTATCTTACTTTATTACTTATTAAATAAGCCCAACTATACTTTGAAAAAAAGTTTGTTATGTGAACACTAAAAACATGGTATTTTAGGTTACCTAGTCCACAATATTGCCAGAACCAGAAAATTTACTGTTAACTTTAAAAGTAGACTACAAAAAAAGTACATATTTAAAAAAAATAAAGATAAAAAGCTACCACCACAGACAGGGGACCACAGAACCAAAAGATATGCCAAAAGGCCTGAGTAATTTTTTTTAAGATTTTATTTATTAGAGAGAGTGAGAGGAAGAGCGCACAAGCAGGGAGAGGGGCAGAGGGAGAGGCAGAAGCAGACTCCCCGCAGAGCAGGGAGCCCGATGCGGGGCTCCATCCCAGGACCCTGGGCTCATGACCTGAGCTGAAGGCAGATGTTTAACTGACTAAGCCACGCAAGTGCCCCTAGGCCTGAGTAACTTTTCTTTCTGAATACATCTATCTTTTCCCAAATAATTTAAAAGTTATTATTACTATCATAAACTGAGGAAAAAATTAAGATTCAATGGCCCATCCCATAATTTTTAGCTAAAGAGTAAACATCACATATATAGCCAGTAACAGCCATCAGAACCCAGGTCTCCAGAGTTGAAACAGAGGAGAGCACTGGTCAGTGCCCCAAGGGCAGCTCACCACACAGCTGCAAGTTTGAGGGAGTCAGGACTTCCGCAGTAGCGGTCTCTGTAAAGGGACCCACCAGGCTCCCCACTTCTCCCTCTCACTCCCACCAGACTCCCCGCTTCCCCAGTTCTCACAGGACTCCTGTGGTTTATAAGGAGCAGTGAGTTACCACTCTTCCCACCATCCTCCCTGTCAAGAATCTGTCAAGAGAAGGGTATTCTCAAACAGCATCTATGTATGGTATTATCCTTGGTCCTCCCTATACCTAACAATCTTCCTCCTCATCCCAGATGCCAGCATCCAACCACAGGGGAAAAGCCCCTTACCCTGCAAATGATTTCATTTGACACAAAAAGATATTTTATACTGTTTTCACTGAAGCAGTGGTTTCTAATCATGTATCCCATCAGTAAAAAAAAATTTTGACACTGCAACTCCAGTGTATTTATAAAGTACATTTGTATATATTTTTGTATATATACTTATATATTATAGAAAACTGTATTACATAATAAAACATACAAAGAAAGGACTTAAGAAAGATGAAGCAACAGCTAAACTATAAAAAGAAGTTTAAACATTTACTTAACCAATACCATGGATTGTATTTTATGTGGAAATGTTCCAGGTAATTCAGGAAGTATTAGTGTCATGCACAACAATAGTAAGGAAAATCCTTTAATAGATGTTGAGAACCTCCTTTACCAGAGAATTAATATGTGTACTTATGCTGCCTCCCTCCACCTCCTTATCTCCTAAGCCATCCATCTTCTAAATGCTTACTGAGTTTTGAAATCCTTTATTCTCAGTGAAGTTTGTTTACATTCTAGATCTTTCTCCTTCTTAAAAGATAACATTATTCAAACCAATAATATGAAATTAACTCCCTATTCTCTATTTACTCAATACTGTGAAGATATTAACATTTTTGAAAGAACACTGCTAATCACATAGAACAGTCATACCTTCTTAATCATAACAAGGGAGAGAATATAGTTTGATAGTGCAAATTTGAAGTAAATCAAAAAAAAGAATGACTATTTTAGAACATAAAATAGTATAAATACCTGATAAAATTAGGTAAATTAAAATATTTAGCTCAAACTGGTTCTATAGTACATAACTAGATTCAGAATTTGAAGACATTCTTAATTTGTTGAGTTTTTTTTTTTTTTTTTAATGTAGGCTCCACACCCAGCATGGAGTCCAGCACAGGGCTTGAACTCATGACCCTGAGATCAAGACCTGAGCTGAGATCAAGAGTTGGATGCTTAACCGACAGAGCCACCCAGGCGCCCCTATTGAATCTTTTGATTTTAAAAAGTCATCCTGGGGTACCTGGGTGGCTCAGTAGTTAAGTATCTGCCTTCGGCTCGGGTCGTAATCCCAGGGTCCTGGGATTGAGCCCCACGTTGGGCTCCCTGCTCAGCGGGAAGCCTGCTTCTCCCTCTCCCACTCCCCCTGCTTGTGTTCCCTCTCTCGCTGTGTCTCTCTCTGTCAAGTAAATAAAATCTTTTTAAATAAATAAAATAAAATAAATAAAAAGTCATCCTAATCTTGAGTTGAACTCTTCTTATATTCCCATAAGATTGAGAAAATTCGCAGAGAATACTCATTTTTCAAGTTTTCACTTGGTAAGGATCATGTATACTATGTGCAAAATATTTCTGTTTTACTCTCTACACTGAAGAGACGGTTTGGCTAATGAAACACCGGCCTAATAATACAGTAGACAAACACGCTTTAATAAGGATGAAAAATTCATCATGTCTGCGAGTGCTTCAGATGACTGATGATATTATTAGGCACCTAATCACTCAGGTACTTTAAATTTTCATGGATAATGTCTTCTGATCTACTAGGGAAGTATAAATAGAAGCATACATCTTGGATGAAGTTTAGTCCCTGGCTACATAAGAAAGGATAAAGAAAGAAAAGAAAATTGCACCGATCATTAATTTCTTTCTAAGACCCCTGTCTCCCTACCTTAAAGTTTATAAGGAAGTGGGCTTTTCATTTAACATCACATAAAATGAAAACAAATATTTTAATATTTATTTTAATAGCCATCACTGCACCTGGGAAACACACTACACTTTTATATAAATAATTATAACAATTAATCACAGCTTAAAAAAATTGGTGCATTATTTTGTGAATTATTTTTCTTTTGTGAGACTTTAGCAGAAGGCCCAGGAATAGAAAAAACTATGGGGTAATCAGGAGTTAAGTTATAATGCCAAGCTATACTTGGTTGAAAAGGTTTGATTAGGTATAAATGAATGCATAAGGCCCCCAACTGCTTTTATCTCTTTTTATGCTTTGTTGCATGGACCCAATGTCTTCTGTTTAGCGTTCTACTACCACTAAAGATATGATTTGAGTATCATTAGCATAGGCTGGTGGTTACTTCATCTATAACTTACCTTCAAAATATAAGAATGAAATATCCACCTAATTATATTATTAATGATATACATATGAAGGTAAACTTGTTATTTTATAAAATTAAATAATATGCCTTTTTAACAATAATGACAATAAGATCTTAATCAGCTTATTAACCCTAAGGACATCAGGTATGACTCCATCACATAAATACTGACAGACCATAGTCATAGATACAATTAGTTTGAACTGACAAACAGATTCTCAAGTATTAACTGCTGCAAGGTCCTCACCAGGCCTACCCTAATCCCCACCAGAAGAGCTTTCATTTTTCTCCAACCTGCAATGATGACATAGAAGGTGACGTAACTGGTCTTTCTGTACACTGAGTATGAAATTATTATATTCTGGTCAAATATATTCACTAGCTCAAAGACAAAGACAGAACTCAAATTTCTAGAATTCTGAGGGCACCTGTGGTTTTGTTTCTGAGCAAATGTCTTTACACAGATTAACTCAAAACCTTAAATTTCTTGTGCCATGGGTCTATGGAAAACACAGTAATTTTAAAGCACCGATGGACATAAATAATACTTTAAGATGTAGCAACAAAAGTAATGTGATATGAAAATATCTATGAGTTCTACTAATGACAAATCGCAGTTACTGCAAATACTCTTAGGAACTGTCACATGCATGTTTCCTAACTGACGGAAATGCTGAATCCGTTAGAGATTAGCAAAAATTAAGATGTAACATGTTTCCCATTCAAGTTCCAAACCCTCTGAGTTCTGTCCCTTTACGCCTTAGTAGTTAAGAGTCCCTATATTAACAACTCATTTAACCCAAAGACAATTACAGATGAGGACTCTGAGGTATGATGAGTTTCATACTGCATTATTGCAAAATAAGTGAATTAAGTATGCATGCACCCCCAGTCCCGTAAGTACTGGGACCCTCACCTTGATGGGGGGTTTCCGAGTGATGTGGGAGACAAGAAAGTTCATGGCAATGTCCTCACAGTTGATGTATTCATCCACCATATCTCGGATGGCCTGGGGCATCACGTAAGAATACAGGTAGGCATAATACTGTCAGGGGTAGAAAAAGATCACATACTCTGTTAGAGGCCACAGTTCTTTGGCTTTTAGCCAAAATATAAATGGATCTAGGGGCTGTTAGGAAGCAGAGGGGTGGGGAGGAGGTTGGGTGTGATGATCATTAGAGGAATCACCACTCCCTTTATTTAGGGAGTTGGTGCCAGGGATGCTAAACATCCTACAAGGCAGATCTTCTGCAATAAATAATAAACCCACGCACATTGCCATTATCACCCCCCTTTTGAGGTCCATTGTAAAATCACCTCAGTGATTTTACAACAATATGAAGATTTATCAAATTAGGTCAGACAGTGGTTCAGATAAACACCATTCTATCTGTGACAATGGCAATAAGGGATAAGTGAGGGGAAAGCCTGGTTATAGAGCCATAAAAATCTAATCCCTCAGTTCCTCCACTTATGGATTCTAGAATCTGATCACTTCTTAACCACTGCCACTGGCTACTCCCTGCTCCAAGCCACCATCATCTTTTGCCTAATTATTCATATAGTCTCCTAAACAGTTTCCCTGCTCCCATATTTTCTTCCCTCCAGTCCATTCTATGCACAGCAGAGTGACCATGTTCAAACACAAGTGCAATTGAACATGTCACTCCAAACCTCAGCGGTTTTTCATCTCACTCAGAGTGAAGGCCTATGTTTTTAAAATGTCCTGAAAGGCCCACAAAATGGTGTGCTAAAGCTGGCTCACACCTGCTAATGAATGTCAACCGCTAAATTTTCAGGAATTTTATGAGACTATTTAGGAATTTTGTGAGCTTGTTATGAAAAATAGCCATTATTAAAAATATACTTACATAAACTTAAAATTAAATAAGCTATATTAAAAACCAATAAATAGCTAAAGCACATCACTTAATTAATTAGCTTCATTTTACTATTGTTTATTTCATTTTACTATTATCTTGAGGTTATTTATGTCTATCATATCTGTATGGTGAAAATACTATAGAACCGCCCATCCCTTTCCAACTCCAAGTTCAGTGACTCATATCTATAACTTGAAATCAGCCATGCTAAAAATATTTATACCACAGAAATGGACAAATGCTATAAACAAGGCACATATCAACTATGATGTGTTGCAATGTTGCTGATGAATGAAAAGGTGAGGGGCCTAATAAAACTGATTTATATATATTACCTTAAATAGAATCTATGTAATGAAATAATGATCATAAAATTTTTGTACCACACAGGGGTTTGCTGGTTATCTTGTGGCAAAGTACTTAAAGGATGGTAAACTTAAAAGATGAATTATACATTTTTCCTTTATAAAAAGACAGATGATTGAAATTTGTTGACCCTTTTTTTTTTAAGATTTTATTTATTCATTTGAGACACAGAAAGAGAGAGAGAGAGAGGAGAGAGCATGAGCGGGGGGGGAGGGGCAGAGGAAGAGGGAGAAGTAGGCTCCCCGCTGAGCAGGGAGCCCGATGTGGGGCTCCATCCCAGGACCCTGGGATCATGACCTGAGCTGAAGGCAGACGCTTAACCATCTGAGCCACCCAGGGGCCCCTTGTTGACCCTTTAAATGGCCAGTGGCTGTCGTCAGTATGCTAATGAGAATATATTTACTGAACACAATCCATATCCTCAACAAGGGAAAGGTGACATAACAAGAAGAAAGAACTGCCTTTTTAGAAAAATGGAGAAAGCATTATGAAAACAAATGCTTAGAAGTATTTCCACCATTATGTGATTATGATTGATGCCATAAATCAATAAACACTTTCATATCTGCACATTTTAAAACATATAAAAACTTTTTAACATGTTTAAAAATATTTTTAAATGAAGTTTCAATGGATTTAGAACCTACTCTAAGAAAAAGTAACATTTTCTTGTTAGTTTGCTAAAAAAAAATTAAATGGCATTACAGAAGATGAAAATTCTAGCCCAGTTTGAACACAATTTAGTGGATGAGTATCATGACTTAATAAGCACAGCAATATGGTATTTCTTACAGGGACAGTGACTAAAACCAAGTATCAAGAACATGTTTAATTTAGAAATAAGAGTTCTGACTTGCCATAACACAGTGTCAATTCAGGATTTTAAAAAATAATATACTGAATCTAATATAACACTGTATGTTAACTGGAATTAAAACAAAAAGTTAAGGGGCGCCTGGGTGGTGTGGTCAGTTAAGCATCCGACTTTTGGTTTCGGCTCAGGTTGTGACCTCAGGGTCATGAGATCGAGCCCCACGTTGGGCTCCATGCTGGGTGGGGAGCAGTGGGGGACTAAATAAACATTTCTGTAAATCACAGGCTTGAGGGCTGCTACCTTTACTCTAGATTTTCAAAAAGAAAATAAAAACTCCAAGGTTTACTAAGTAAATTATTTATTACTTGAAAATGACAGGATCTCGCTACTGTTAACTTTTAAAGAGCAATCAGAATTTGGGAACAGGCAGACTTTTCAGAACACAAATTTGAAATTGGTGGTTCTTTCTCAGATGACCAGTGTGAAAATAAAGGACTCCTAGTTAGGTACGGTTTCTCAGCCAGATACTTCCTAATCCTACTAGCATCCCCCATCCCAACCAAAGCCCACCAACATTTGGAAAATAAGCATGAGGGTGAGGTTCAAGAATGGGACACGCATATCAGCTTGACACATTAAGTTGTAAAAAGAAAAAAAAAAAAGCTGAAAATGTAATGATTTCTTAGCCTGATTCAAAATGTCCCTAGTAAGATGACTTTCAAGGTTCTGTTTGAGGTGGGTCGCAAGATGCCACCATCTGAAATTTGAAATATATGAGGGACAAAGCCTGGAGAAAGTTGGGATGTCAATTTGAGGTACCAGAGGGACATACGGGGGGTGGGTTCCTGAAAACAATTAGGTATATGAGTACAGGCATCAGGGAACAACCAAGACAGGAATATAGACACAGAAATTACCAGCCTGTAGGTGCTCAGCCCCAAGACCTTGAGCTATGAGAGAACATCTAGGGAAGACCAAAGTAAGAAGAGCACTAGATACAGAAGTTAGAAGGCTGAGATACTTCAACATTTATGGGGAAAACAGTAGGGTAGATGGGTCTTCCATGAGAGCAATGAAGTTGCCCAGAATGAGAGAGGGCATGGAGGGGAGATCAGGAGGATGGGCCATGTGCCAAGGTCTTTGATGACCAGAAAGAAATGGCTAGGAGATTGCTAGATGGGAGCAACAAGACAGATGCTGTGAGCCTCAAGTGAGATTTTATATGATAGCTGAGAACTGTCTGGAAGTGTCATCAGTAAGCAATAAAAATGGTTCTTTATACCTTCCCTGCTCCAAAGTACATATCTGGGGAAATGAGTAGACTCAATCACTGTCCCTTGAAGAAATACAGGAACAAGGTAAAGGGGAAGCACTGTCCTCAGAGAAAAGTTGGGTTTTAATTAGGTCAAGAGATAGAGGAGGCATTCTGTGAAGTGGGCTGGGGGGGGTGCAGTCAACTTGGCCACCTCAGAAGAGGGAGTCTTCAGAGCCCAGAAGAAGTACTTGGGAGGGAAGGTATACAGCAACACTATCTAAGATATGTGAGTCACATCTGTCACTTTAAATTCTCTAGTAGCCATATTTTTAAAAAAAAAAGATTTAATTTGTGAGAGAGACACAGAGAGCACAAGCAGGGCAGAGGGAGATGGACAAGCAGACCTCCCACTGAGCGCAGAGCCCAACACAGGCTCGATCCCAGAACACTGAGATCATGGCCTGAGCCAAAGTCAGAAGCTTAACTGACTAAGCCACCCAGACATCCCTACTAGCCACATTTTTAAAAAGAGAAATAGTAAAATTAATTAGAATATATTTTATTTAACCCAGTGTATCCAAAATAATTGCATTTTATCATATCAAAATCTGGTGTGCACTTTACATTTACAACTCATTTCAATACTGGCCAGTCACATTTCAAGTGCTCAATAGCCACGTGTGGCCAATGGCTACTTTATAGAACAGAAAAGGTACAGAGGAAAGATGAGTCGGGAGCAAAAAAAGCTTAGCAATAACAATACAGGAGAGAAGTAATGACTGAGGGATTTGCATCTTAGATATCCAATAAAAACTGGGATGTGTGCCATGGTGAAAGCTCTAAGGAATAAACAAAACTTGCATAACCACAACAGAGGCTCATGACGGAGCTTGAGATAGTGGCGGGTTAACCTGAGTCAGAAGAGAACCAGCCTTCTTTCTGCTGGGCAGGCCATGTCTGGGACAACAATGGTAAAACAACAGTATTTTAGCCCAAGGCTCTCAATTTTACAGAAGGACAGCCAATGCCCAGAAAGAACAAACTAATTTTCCTAATAGCCTACATGCAATTGTGCATGGAGCCTTCTCACCCTGACATTTTATCCCAGGGTTTATTCTTGAATACAGTCTTTAAAAACAGAAATAACTTGGACGCCTCGGTGGCTCAGTTGGTTAAGCGACTGCCTTCGGCTCAGGTCATGATCCTGGAGTCCCAGGATCGAGTCCAACATCGGGCTCCCCGCTCAGTGGGGAGTCCGCTTCTCCTCTGACCCTCATCCCTCTCGTGCTCTCTGTCTCTCATTCTCTCTCTCAAATAAAAATCTTTAAAAAAAAATAAATAAAAACAGAAATAACTTACATGTCTAGCATACAAGGGACATATAAGAAACATTAGGAGGGCTAACTTTAGGGCAGCATTTCACTACCACACAAAGGCTCAACTCTTAACAAAGTTCACACCAATCTTACCAAGCTTTTTCTTACCTTGTGAAAGAAGGCAGCACCTGTCAGCACCATGGACAGCTCACAGGAGTAGTTGGAGTTGTAGAGCCAGGACTGATGAGGGATGTCCCACGCATGGTAACGGCCAGGGAAACCCACAATGCGGTCCCGTGCTTCTCTCCACACCCTCAGAAAACACAAGTATATGCACACACCTGAGTACAGAGCTCTAAGATTATCAGAAACACTTAAAATTATTTCTCTGTCTTGCAAGCTCTGGCCCTTGAGCTTATCTTTTTCCTCTTAAAAAATTTTTTTAAGATTTTATTTATTTCTTTGACAGAGAGAGAGACACAGCGAGAGAGGGAACACAAGCAGGGTGAGTGGGAGAGGGAGAAGTAGGCTTCCCACTGAGCATGGAGCCCAATGCAGGGCTCGATCCCAGGACCCTGGGCTCATGACCTGAGCCAAGGGCAGACGCTTAACAACTGAGCCACCCAGGTGCCCGCTCATAAAAAATTTTAAAATAACAAAATTTGTCACAGGCAAAACAGGATAAGAACAAGCAAACAGTGCTATATGTAGCTTCTTTAATAAGCACCTGCTTATTGCTCTTCTAACTTCTGGCCGCCAGCACTTCTCCAGCTTTTACAGAAAGAGCAAGCTGGAATAACATGGGAAGGAAATAAGTGAAGTTAAGAGTTTCCAAAATGGGGTACGTACACCATTAAAAGAAGTGATCTTAGGACCATACGAATGAAAGATTCATAAATGCAAGAAATAATAAATTGAAGGGTGCTGGGGTGGCTCAGTAGGTTAAGCATCTGCCTTTGGCTCAGTCATGATCTCAGGTTCCTCGGATCGAGTCCCGCATCAGGATCCCTGCTCAAAGGGGAGTCTGCTTGTCCCTATCCCCCTGCCCTGCCTCCACTGCATGCACTCTCTCTCTCTCTCAAATAAATAAAATCTTTAAAAAATAGTAAACTGAAGCAAGATGGCAGAAGAGTAGCAGATCCAAATTTCGTCTGGTCCCAGGAATTCAGCTAGATAGAGATCAAACCATTCTGAACACCTATGAACTCAACAGGAGAGCGAAGAAAAGAATAGCAACAACTCTCTGAACAGAAAAGCGACCACTTTCTGGAAGGTAGGACCTGCGGAGAAGTGAATCCAAGGCGATATTCAGGAAGATAGACAGCTGGGGAGGGGGCCTCCATTGGCAGCTACTGGCAAGTGATAGAGCCGCAGAGCACAAAATCGGAACTTTTAGAAGTCCGCTCCGCTGAGGGACGTCGCTCCAGTGGCTAAGCAGGGGGTGGAACCCTCCCTGGGACAGTGTGGTCTCAGGACCCTCGGGGTCACAGAAAGACCGGGGGTGCCTGAGTGCAGCAGAGCTCCCAGGTATCGGAGCAGGGAAGCCGGCTGCAGAGACGGAGCCGAGGCGCGGGCTCTCAGCTCGGGGTTGCCATAGACCGTGATCCGCAGCACAGTCGGGCCACTGCTCTTCCAGCAGGGATCCAACAAGCGGCAGATCCGGAGAGACTTGCCTTCCTCCCCGGGGAGGAGCGGCGCGGGAGTGCATCTGCTGGGTTTGGAGACGCCGCACGGGGTCGTGTGCCAGAGATAGAAACGCTCAGTCACAGGCCGGGTGAGCACGGAGTGCAGCCGGAGACCGGGGAGATGGGAGTGACTGCCTTTCTTTGGGGCGCACTGAGGAGTGGGGCCCCGAGTTCTCGGCTCCCCCGGGTCAGAGATTGGGAGGCCGCCATTTTCACTCTCGTTCTCCAAAGCTGTACGGAAAGACTGCAGGGAACAAAAGCTCCCGAGAGCAAACCCAAGCAGATTACTTAGCCCGGACTCAGCAAGGGCGGAGCAATTCTGCCTCCGGCAAAGACATTTGGGAACCACAGCAACAGGCCCCTCCCCCAGAAGACCAGCAAGAACACCCAGCCAAGACCAAGTTTACCGATCAACGAGAAGAGCAGAACTCCAGCGCTAGGGGAATACTGCACATAGAATTCACGGCTTTTTTCCCATGATTCTTTAGTCCTTCTTTTTTAAAAAAAATTTTTTGAATTTTTTTTTTCCCTTTTTCAACCAACATCTTATCGATCCCTTTTTATTTATTTTTTTTTTTAAAGATTTATCTATTTATTTGAGAGAGCGAGAATGAGAAAGAGAGTACATGAGAGGGGGGAGGGTCAGAGGGAGAAGCAGGCTCCTCACTGAGCAGGGAGCCCAATGCGGGACTCGATCCCGGGACTCCAGGATCATGACCTGAGGCGAAGGCAGTCGCTTAACCAACTGAGCCACCCAGGCGCCCTCGATCCCTTTTTAAAAAAATCTTTTTTATTTTTCATTTTTAGAGTCATATTCTACCCCTTCATAGTAGTTAACCTTATTTTTGGTGTATATATAGATATAAGTTGTTCTCTCTCTAATTTTGGGCTACAGTTTCTTCTAACAGACCAAAATATACCCTAAATCTCTAGTGTATGGCTTTATTCTAGTCTCCTGCCTGATCACATTCTCTCCCCCTTTTTTTTCTTTTAAATCCTTTCTTTTTTCAACCAACTTATCAATACCTTTTATAAAATCTTTTATAATTTTCATTTATACAATCATATTCTATCCCTTCATCGTATTTACCCTTATTTTTGTATATATAAAAGTTTTTCTTTCTTTAAAATTTTAGGAGGCACTTTCTTCTAACAGACCAAAATACGCCCAAAATCTAGTGTGTGGCACTGATCTATGCACCAGCCTGATCATATTTGATCATATTCTGTTTTTTTGTTGTTGTTGTTGTTTGTTTCTCTGTTTTTATCTTTTTCTTTCTTTCCCTTTCTTTTCCTCCGGTTTCAGGTCTCTTCTGATTTTAGTGTATATTTTTCTGGGGTTGTTTTTACCCTGTTAGCATTTTGTTCTCTCATTCAACTATTCTCCTCTAGACAAAACAAGACAGAAAAAATTCACCTCA